GTTCAAATTTAGGGAGTTTGATGTTCCTATTATCCCTGAACGGCGAAACAGTAACATCAACCATGTCATACTTAACATCAGACACATCGTTACAAGTAACAAACAAGTCACCATGACTTACTTTCCTGTTTGCATCCAAGACGCTCTGTCCCTTCTTTGACCCAGGCATTGTTGAACTTGACCCAATTCCAAAAGACATCCAGATATTGCTTGTTCAAAGAGGACTTGACCGGCACCAGGAAAGATGAACGGCGACTATCCAAACTGTCACCAACTGTTCGAAAGGGTCAAAAACTGACTCTACCGTCAGAAACTGTTAGCCACGTCGCGTAAACCGTTAATTGCCAGAACTTGCTACGCTGGGACTCACGCTGTTCCTCGAAGCTTCTCAGAAACGCTTAGCACGAACGGACGCAAAAACCAGAACCCAGTTTGGCGACTCGAGAATTATTTATTCTAACACCAACATATAGCCAATGTACAACTAAGCTTTACAACTAAGGTCTATGAACAAATATTACAATAATAAATCACAATATTACTTCTGACGGTTGTCTCCTGACTTCTTTCTGAACAGCGACCGATGAGATGATGACTGGTGTATTGATGCCTCCGCGAAAATTGAGGAAGTTGGTTTTGAGCAAACAACCATGAATTGATCGTTCAATCCTCAACTACAATGACAGTTTGTGTGTCCTGGGGGTTTTTACAGTCTGTCATTGAAGTCAGATGGTAACCAGGTCTCGGTAACTACCAATACTGAGGGTATACAGAGGAAAAGCAAGTATTGAATGTACGGAATTTCATTGCACATAGAAGGAACTTTTATAAGGAAAAGATTGAATGACCTTTGATAAGTGGTAAGGGCTGAGGCAAAATGAAGTATATTATAGTGTGATTCCTCCGAAGTTAAATGAAAATTAGATGACAGACTGACCGGTACATTGAGTGCTCAATACGTAAAGCCTTCAATGCTTTCGTTGAGGTTCCGCAAAAAAGAAGACAGTGTTGACGTCTGTTCGTCGGTGGCGCAGCGGCTGACCGTTCAGTTAGCGAGGGCATGGAGATAGGCATACGGAATGTGAGGTATCCTGGATGTCTGAAAAAAAATTGGAGGGTAAGGAGACAGACTATTTGACAAAAAATGGTTAGGGAAATGTCTGTCGGGTGTGGTAAAGAGAAAATATGGTAAGTCGAACCTATTTGAACCTAGGTGTGTACAGAGAACGAGTCAGGGATATTTAATGAAACTATATTCATTGAAATGGACTCATTTTTATTAATAGGTAATTAGTTTTTGCAGTGATTGGAACAGTCCCTTAATAAAGCAGTTTCCTACTATCGTTCCAAATGGCTTCTCGTCAGTTCAGTTTTGTTTAATCAAGTTGGTCAAGATTTCGTCCACTGGTTTGTGAAACGTTGACTGCTAAATGTCAATTTTTACACGTAGGTTAACATTTATAAAGTCAAGTAGGTGTGGAGTCAAATACTTAGCAGACTGTACAGTGATTACCGCAGAAACCATTACACTGGTTTTCATCCCAGCGAGATAGTTGTATATGGGGTTTCCCAGTTTCAGGAACAAGGGAACAGATGGCGAAGCATACATTTTTCACAATACAAGCTGACATCAAAAACTTTAGTTACAGTGTAAGTGTCTTCAATCTACATTTATGTGTGGGTGGTTGAACTTATTGTGTAGACAGGGTAATCAGTATCAGTTATGACTAAAAGTGTAAAGAATGGAAATTCGAACAATTTGATGAAATGTTCAGTGTTCATTGGGGTCATTGCTACTTGGCGGGACAGTGAAGAAAGCGCCGAACGCTATGAGAACGCAACAGGTGACGCCAAGTTTACTACAAAGATTATGTCCAGTTGCCTATTTACACCGAGATTTTAGATGATGCAACTTATGTTTTGGAGCAAAAGAAGCCAAACCCTTTGGAGAGGATATTTGTGACTTATGTTCGGCCCATAAGAGTATCACTGCAAGATATATGTACCAAGGCACAGGTGGGTTTCTATTCTAAATCTAAATATTTGACCAAACAGGAATGCGTCGTGAAATATCAGTCCTCAGCGTCCAAAGCCAGTACATGTAAGTTTATTTAAAGGAAAAAGCCTAAAATTAGCTATTGTCAATATGCTTCGAGACGAGCCAGTGTTGCTAACTCGATATTGTTTTATCGCTACCTGCGGTTTGGGAGGGTGGATACTAGGTTACAAAGGTAAATTGTATAATGTCATATCTGTTTCTCTCAGGGGGTATCCTAAAGAAGATGTCCTACGCATCGATAGCCGGCTCTTCAGCAACTGTATTGTGCTTCCCTAACTCTGCCTTCTCTGCCGCCATGAACCTGTGGAATATTGAAAGCAAAAAAATGACAGAAATCAGAAAACGATTCAGTGTGAGTTTTCTCTCAAATTGAACTTGACACGGTACCCCACATAAAACAATGATTCCCCTAAATATGCTCCCAGCTAGCACTTTATTCGGGCGCATTGCAGACTTTTTGGAGAAGAATTTGGGCACATTGCAAATTCCGAGGAAGACTTAGGGCGCATTGCAGACTTATTGGGGCAGACTTCGGGACACTGTCACACGTAAGTAGATCTACCCGACGTCCCGCCCCCCAAAAGTCTGCAATACCCCCGGAGAAAATGCTAGCTGGGTTACTAAACAAGAGGTAACATTTATCTAGTCATATTTGATAATGGTTTTTCGTGTCTGTCAAAAGTTAAGCCGAAGAAGTCTACTTAACCTACACTGCTTGTGTCCCGAAAGGCGTGCGTTAAACCGCTGAACCACCATCGTGGAAGTATGCTCGTCAAGTTGTCACATACTGTTCAAATTTTACTTTCAGTTCAACGGTTTACACACTGATAATTTTTTTTGTTATGGTAATATTTTGAGTGAAATCACTGCCTTTGATCTGCACAACTATCAACCTGGAATATATCTCAGCACACAAATATGAACGAACAAAAATTACCCAATATGGCAGATCACAAATTGTGTAAATTTAAGAAAACACTCCCATAACTTGGCATGATCACGGGCATTAATTTTGTTCAGAATATTACGTAAACAAAAATAACTTGGCATTGTCTGCCCATCGACATCTAATTTTAATTCGAGCGATTGTACAATGCAAAAACGCTTAACTTACACTAATCAGGGTCAGTCTGTTCGTTGACTCCTCACTACCTCAATATTATTGCATTCACAATGCTACTGCATTTAATGTACATTTGACAATTATCCATCAACTGTCCCCAGAACAATTAAGTTCGCTTGTTCAACTCCTACACGCAATCGGGAATTTCATTTGTAAGTATTGCTAAACGAAATGACACTATAACTACATCACGAAATACTTGAGAATAGAATCTTCAAGCCTTCGTCGGAGGATCTAATAGTGATTGAGTATTTCGATAGTCCACTTCATGCTGGAAGTTTAGAATCTGTCTCTATAGAATGTAGGGGAAAAGCAGTAGTCACGCTCAATATAGACTTCAGGGAGCGGAGTGGGCTTCAAACCTGTTTGCACTAGTTGTTAAGTCGAATTGCTACTGACAGGGTCACAGATGGTTCCGCACAGACCGAAGTGTGATTTAAAAAAAGAATAACTACGCGCCCTACCATAGAAATGTGTTGTTAAGTATGGAGTCAACTATCTGTTGTGAATACTGTGCTTCGTAGTTTGTCTATGCAAGCTGTTGATGAAAGTTCGTGGTGTTTATACTGTCCGCTGTGATACCTTGTTGACGAATCCTAGCTCCGCAAACCAAGCGAATAACGAACTGTTTCGTTCTGCATTGAAAAATCTTGTATCAGACCACTTGGACACGAGTTGATAGAACTGAGAACAGATCTGTATTACGTATATTCAGCCTCTGACGCTGTAGACGGCAGCTGACATGTTTTAAAACTTCGCGTTTGTGTGTGTTTCTGTTGTAAACCTATCACCTTCAAGCTGAGGGAGGTATGTTTCGATCTGAAAGATTGTTTAAATACCTCTCGTGCGAATTTATACTATAGATGCGTGATACTAAAACGAAATTTGTTTTATTAGAGCATCACAATGTAACATTTGGGTAGGCTAATACAAAGATTGGTAATTGTGACCTTATTATTATTATTCTGATATATATTTCTGATACAACTTTATCTGAAGATAGGAAACCTTTTTGAAAGGGAAAGCACTTTATTCACACTTTTACAGCATCTCTATTTTTCAAATGTGAAACAAGTTTTTATATAATACATATCCTGACTGGAGTTAGTGTTTCCTCCCAAGGAGTTTGTCATACTTAATTCCAACCAATGCAGGTGAATTCCTGCTAGACCATTTGTTAGGTGATTTTTGTCAAGTTGGCTGTTTCACATTTATAATCACGGTGGACAAAATGGCAATAAAATTTCCAGCTGACAAGTATCGGTCTTTTGCACACTTCAAAAATTAAAGTCCATATATTTATTCGTATCACTCGTTTGTCTGTTACTGTTAATTGGTTTTACACTCATTATTAATAATTTTGTTTTAATTGGAAAATTAATGACAGGATTATAAACAATATTGAAATATGTTACCATATTAAATCGATTCGTAATGCGTATCTTTCGTATTTCAGGACTAGTGGTTTGCAGATTCGCATGACTGCTATCTTCAAATGTCAAATCACGTCTTGGCAACTCCACAGCACGATTATACGTGAAATTAACAATTCTTTAACAGTTAGTGAACAGATTGTGCACATTATGCATTAAGAAAGTTTGATTAAAGTAACCAATTAGTACACTTCTTTTGTAACATGTAATGTATTACAATAACAGCCTTTTCTTCTTCATGTTTACAGGTTTAAGTGTAATAAATGATTGAAGTCAATAAGGTGTACATTCAGTAACTGAAAGTTGGATAAATGCATTCTTTGGCTACAAACTTAATTAGGCATAATTCAGTTAGACCATGAATTAATTAATCAGGTATCCGTTGTTATTCACATGCTAATTTGCTGTCGAACGAAGACAAAGCGATTCCGAACGCCTGTAGAGCACACATTGGATACATGTAGTCCATCGTGAAAGTGTCTTCAGCAACACGTCCGAATTGCATAAGAATATATTCATCTAAAAAAGGAATTAAAAGCGGAACTTGTAGTAACTAGGTCGTTAGGCAACTAGTGTCGCAAAACTATCTAAACTGAAATTCTGACCATTCTATGGTAAAAACCCTTGCACATTCCTCACGCAACATAACATAAGCTTTATTCCAAATCAGTACTTGTGATACAGAATGGAATTCTCAGCATTTTTACTACAATATTGCATCCAGTTTTTACATTAACAATAAATAAAGTTCTACATAGATTAAAGTTATCTCAACAACTTATTAGTATGTCGGTAGCAAAGCCAAAATTAAAGTGTTTGAAGTTGTTAGAAAAGTAGATACTACTAGCATATTTACTGGCGTAAGCGATAGCAAAATGGTCGAGATATACAGAGTGTGAAAGAACGAACAAGAATGTTTTAAGTAGAGTTTGCAAGGAAGAGAGAAACAAAACAGCACATAACAAAAATAAATACAGAATGAAGAGCGAGAAAAACGTTGTACCTATAAATGATGTGAGTTGGAAAGACGAGATCCATTGGTTCTACTGACTATTTAATAAGTTAAAGGTTTCATGCCTGATGCATTCTTTATCGCACAGAACACGGGCTAGGTAGGGTATGGATGAGTTTTTGTACTTACTAGTGTGGGCATATAGTTTCCTATATAGGCTTCTTGTTTTCCCTGAAGAGATACATGGGGAGAGTTGTGAATGTAGAGGGTGTTGTGAGTCAGATAAAATGGATTTCGCCCATTTTTCACGTAAACAAAATGTTGAGAATTAAGAACGCCAACCTGCTTCTGGAAGCGAATTTAAGCTGGCGAGTGCCATGTCTTGAAGAGAATAATGGACACTGATGTTTCGTAACTCAATAACCCTGTTCCTAAAAAACAGGATTAGTTGAAGCGTATACCCATTATAAGACAGTTTTATTTTTGACAGACATAATGGCTCTTCTCCCCTATTAGTTCGAAAAGGAATCTCAAATTTTTGATGTCATCACTAGTAATGAGCTTCATCCAAAATGAGTGAAACACATCATCAGATCCTGCGTACATCGTCGCACACTACAGTATGATTTTTTTTTATCCCTTCTGCGTTCGGACTGGAACATAAGGCTTCAAGCTTGAGCTTTTAATAAGTTGTAGTGTCAAGTCCTTTACGGGTGGGGTTACTAGACTTACATCCGACCTCCCTTCTTTGGCGGGCCTACTAGCGGCCAAGCGGGGTTAAGGAGTGTGCGAGTAGACGTCGAACCCTGGACCGTATGTGTACCTAGCGGGTGCGTTGCAGTGTGTAACATAACATTTTATAGAAACTACAACTTGAAAACTTGCCATTACTCTCATGAACAATTTGGAAGTTCTTCACTGACGCTTGTGTGACGCGACCATGGAAGTTGAGTACATAAGACTGCGTATCTATAATGGAAAAGATAAAGATAAATCGGGGCCTGAGTTGGGATTTTACGTACCGATTTCATTCGAAGTGCTGTTTTCACCACGATTCAGTTGATAACTATACAAAAATCTAGGAGTCAAATATGTGATAAGATAAAACAAGATAGAGACACTTTCTGATTTTGGTAAAGCCTAATAAACAATCTTCCTACATTCCTGGGCCTACGAGGGGTTAGTGAATTACGCCCGGTCTCACGGCCATACATTTAGGAATCTCTCTCAGTTAGTGTAGAGCTGACATTCTCACGTACGAAACCCACTACGCTTCCTGAAGTCTATATAGAGCGTGGCTACTTCTTTACCCCTACATTCTATAGGGACAGATTCTAAACTTCCAGCATGAAGTGGACTATCGAAATATTCAATCATCATTAGATTCTCCGACGAAGGCTTGAAGATTCTATTCTCAAGTATTTCGTGATGTAGTAATAGTGTCATTTTGCATATCAGTACGTACAAATCGTCTCAAATATCAGTTATATTCCTGTTTCTTCAACTTCCTCACATTTATCCTTTGGAAATAAAATTATTTCCTATTGGGACAGATGGAATTCTAGAAATAACTAGACGGACAGTTACTGAGATATGCTGAGTTGCCAAACAGACTTTGAGTAAGAACACTGCAGTGATAGAGTTATGCAACTCTATCCAGCAGCTACTTAGGTCGAACATACCCTGTAATTCCTCCTATCGACGTCCGAACTCCCCTCAACGGCGAAACTCACGTGGTCGGTATAAATCCAAGCCATGTTCACTAAAATACCCCGACTGGTGTTGATATCACAATACCTATGGCCAGGAAGCGAAGTGTTGTCGAAAACCTTGTAATTTCGGCAATTTCTCAAAGACCGTTGGAAACTATCCCGCCGGTACGCGTTAGCGGTAACCGTCGCCTACTTTTTATTCGTGATGTGCTCAGCCAAATTCGATACTTAGTCGACACAGGTGCCGAAGTCACCGTCCTTCCTGCTAAAGCGGCAGATCGACAGAAGGAACCTACCTTCAACTAACAGGCTCCAAATGGAAATACGTCTATCTGAAAGAAAGCAGCGAAGGCTGCCTCAAACTGTTGAAAATCCTTTTCGTGACACACAGTGCAAGTCTCTGACCCGTATAGAACTGACTGATTCTCACATTTGTGCCGAAAATCCGAGTCTCGTTCTTTATGTTTCTGAGAGCAGAAAATTTCCAAACTGGTCTCAGGTTGATGGAAGCGTATGTTGCCTTTCCGATTCTGACTTTGACATCTTCATCCGTTCCGCCTGCCTGCCTGCCTGTGGTTGAAACCATGCTTCCTAGATAAGTGAAGGAAGTCACTCCTGTCAAATCTCTCCCGTTGATGGTGATTGGCGTTGGTTGGTTATCTTCATCACCTCCGTCTTCTCTATGTCCACCCAGAGTCATGTCTTCACTACCAGCCTCTTCAGCCAGTTTGTTGGTTTTCGCTTGCAAGTCTTCGAGATTGTGTGACATTGAACATAAATCATCCATCCGTGAAATCCAAATCTCTAGAGTCTTTTTATCGGTCCAGTGTATTCTGTGTTCTCACTCTCGACGCACAGTCTGACGCATAATCCAGTCCACCACAATCAGGAATAACATTGGCGGTGATAGGCGGCCTTGTCTTACCCTTGTATTCACTCCGAACGCCTCGTTGGGTTTTCCGTTGTGGATCACTTGACACATGGCATCGTCGTATAGCTGTTGAGTGAGGTTGGTAGAGATTTGGGGCTCTTTACAGAATAGTGTTGAAGTAGTTTCCAAATCACTTCTCGGTCAACGCTGTCTGTCGAAGGCCTATTCAAAGTCGATCAAGCAAGTTGAGGTAGAGATTTGACTGCAATTCTATGCTTTGTTCAATGACGATGCGTAGAGTTGCATTTTGATCAGCAGATAACTTGCCTTTCCTGAATCGAGCATTTTCCGGGAGACGTAGTTCTGTATGCAGCTCACCGTTTATTCTCTCCAGGATGATGCGACTCGGTATTTTACTTGGCGTGGACAAGAGCATTATTCCACGCTAGTCAGTCCTTTCCTTGCACAGGTCTAAGTCGCCCTTCGTTGGCAGTTTGACGAGGTAACCTCTCTTTCAATCAGTAGGCACCTTTCCTTCTTTCCAAACTTTTGTAATTACATAGACCCACACAATATAAACGTAGGAATTCCCATAGCATGCCCAAAAGAGCTAGTACTTCGATGTACTCTCAACGTCCGATTTCTTTTCAACAATGAAGTCCATAGACAGATGGGGTGGCTATGGGCGCGCCACTTGGCTAGTATGGAGAGCAGTACTCTCACACGTGCTATAAAGGCGGTCGCCTTTTACTAAGGATACGTGGATGACACGTTCATTATATGCGACGAGAACTGCAAATTGAATGACATCTTGAAAGTATTCAATGACAGTCATCTTCCTATCCAGTTCACTTTAGAAAAAGAAACCAAAGGAAAAATATCTTCCCTTGATGTCCTACTCACAAGGAGAGCTGACGGGTCTATGAGAAGATCTGTTTACAGGAAATCGATGTGGACAGACAACTGACCAGTTTTCTCCCCATAGAGAGAAAAAGGAATCTAATTCATTCTCTCTCAACACGGGTGCGGAGAGTTTGTAGTGAAGATGGTGTTGATAATGAACTCAAACAACTGAAAGAAACCTTCGCAGAGAACGGGCATGCACTGCGCTTCGTAGAGGTCAATAGAAAAGTACGTGGAAGAAATACAGAGATTAATAAGGTAGCTAAAAAAGTGTTGCACTTAAACTTAGTATTTAGGGGTGACACTACGAGTGAAGTACTTATAAATCGTCTGACCGGGTGACTGAGAAAAACGTTCTTTGCTACCACTTTACGAATAACTTACTCTAGTTGTCCACTGGTGCACCTTAATGTCAAGGAAATGCTATCCTGATTGTTTAATTCCATGTGTATTTATCTATTCACCTGCTCTTGCGGAACTAGGCACAAAGGACGTTCGTCGAGAAAAATATCCCGCCACGTTCGAGAGCACCTCACAGTTTGGCTGAGCAAAGGAGGATGTAGAGGTACGAATTCATCCATACTGCAACATATTGTAGATACTGACCACGCAGCATCTGACACATTGTTTAATATACTCTACAAAGTTTGCCGAAATGGACACAAATGCATTTGCTTTGTAAGGCAGAGGCTTTGGCGATTCATAACATAAAGCCAGAACTTTGTGTACAAAAACAATTTGTACGATCTCTTTAGTTACCATGGTCTTGATTTACTATGTAATTCGCATAACAACTTTGTTACCCTTCTTTATTCCGTGTTCCATTTCGTCTTACCTTGTTATATTTTAACATTTTATCTTGTCTACTACTTTAACAACATTTCACTCATCCTGTTTGCATCATATTATATTCACATTTCCGAATGTACTTTATTTTCCGATCATCTATTTCACACTTTTCTACTGAACTTTAGGTTGACCTCTATTTATTTATTTAGTTATTCATCCATACATCTAAACAATTGCGACTTGAGTCCTATACACCAATATTATCGCGCTTTAGTGCTGGCACTCACTGTCAAACTTTAAAACACACACATGAAAAATGATTGTTATTGTCTGGTGTAATTCATATATATATATATATATATATATATATATATATATATATATGAATTACAGCTATGAAAATGAAATCGTCGAAAGGAGAATTTTCTTCGCAGAATGCTTTCCCTTTGGAAATGGTGTATTACCATTGCCCGCAGCTATTTAAACTTGTTTCATATAAGCGCAATGCAGAAATTGTGTTTTCTTGACATCAAATTTCATGTTTGTTGTTTTGCGAGTATGATTATAAATAAAAGCAGATGAACTCACCCTCATTCCAAACTGGATTCTTGTTTTGCAGTTGTAGGATGTTTTGTGAATCTTTACGCTTCCACGTATCAATGAGATAGTTGTTGTGCTGAAAAATAATGGGTGGGTAAATATTTGCAAATATTTAGGGTTAGAATAAGATTCCGCTCCAATAGGAATACCTGAATACAGGGGATGGTTGGGATACAGAGCAACTTGATACGCTAATATATATGGTGTCACCTTAACGCGTGAAAACTATTTCGAAACTTCAGCATGATCATTTTATGCACCATAGTTTTTTTAAGAACGGCATTTGCCTCGGCGGCATAGGTATTTGACAGGTATAATGTATTGCTGATGCTTCTTTATTTCTTTTTCTTTCGTCTCCCACCAATGTCCACATTCTGCACGAGGACTTGTAGTCAGCTGTTCCTACGACAAACTGAATATGGTTCCCAACTGCCTCAAGACGTGTACTGGTATTATGTCAACATGAATGTTTGGTTACTGAAATATTTTCAAGAGGCTGCTGTTACAACTTGACCATGCTAGATCATAAGAAGGAAGGTAAATCCATCTATGGCAACCATAGCAAAAGCTACTTGATTAAAATGGCGTCTAAATTACAACCAGTTATCAACCAAATCAAAATCTGTAGGCGTTAAATGGATAATATTTTCATTATTGTCAAAGAAATTGTTGACCTAAACAAAATCTTTGAAGTATTTATAATACACATCGACGATTTAACTTGATTGTGGAAGTTGCGTCAGGGATACTCAGCCTAAATGTTCAGCCTTCTATGAGAAATAACAGATCAATCTATAGATCAGTTCACCATAAACCAGAATAAAGTGGGCAGCTAACTAACTACTATAGTTTTGTTCCATTGAGTAAGGAAAGAGAGCTCATTAAATATTTTCTCACAAGAATTACACGGAAGACAGTGGAGAACTGGAGCCTTCACGTAGCATTTTAATTCAGAATAGTTATCCACTAGTATTCATGAATATTAATCCGCAAGAGACAGAAGTATCAAAGAAACAGTTCATTGTAAACCAGAAATTCATAGGTGACACAACAGCTGAAATTCTCCAAAGCAGATAATCAAAGGCAGTTCGCATCTTTTGCGTCCAACTCCAAGCAACCCCTCATTCACCGAAATGTCAAAGACAATGCTTTACTGATGAAAACATCCGTGTGCATATATCATTTCATTTGCTCCTGTGTAGAACCAGACAGTACCAGTAGGAAACTGTGTAGCTGCTCACAAGAAAATCTCCCAATATGGTTGTTAGCCGAGCCAATAGGTTAATTCTTGAGCGTCTTGTTCTTACAAAAGATTCCGCATCGACAGAAAAGTTTTTTGAGGTGAGACTTAGCCGTTTGAAGGGTTTCTAGGTACATCTGTCCACAGCAAAATTTATTCTACGTACAATAAAATACTTAATATATATATATATACCTTTCACTACCGTGGTAATATATCCTCCTGTTTTTCTTTCAATTCATTCAGTAATTAGGTATGTAATTCATATTCCTTTGGCTTTTTCCTCTTATTCTTAACTTTCAGACTTAACATTAAAATATACCGTATAACTATTCAGAATTACCTAAATTTTGAACATTGTTCCTGTTTCCGAGTGCTTGTAGCATTATTAGTTATCATTTATTAACGTTGCTCGTCACTTAGCGTTTTTAGACTACCGGATTTCATTTGTTTTGTCACCAACCGATATGAACAATTCACTGTATGGGCATTTTCCTGTCCAGTTCCAACACCTTACGACTGTACAGCTTTGAAGTGAAACAAATAAAAAAATATTCTCTGCTTACCTGCACTTTTACAATTCAACTAAAATGGATATTTTTCATACTCTAAATCTACAATACTCGACGGGTTCGTAGACTTAGGTACACTAGTGTCTAACACTTAAGACTTTCCTTGGCTTGCAGGCGACACACAATTCCGGCTGCTTTAACTTTAGAGCCTCAAACGTAACTCAGGAAATATGAAAACCACACGTATTACACCATGGATACCTTCGATCTACTGCGTTAATCCAATGGATTAGCAGATTAAGTTGCAGCTATTTCATGAAAGCTGGTTATATAAAATATTTCAGCATATGAGGCAACTAATCCCGACTCTCTCCCTTTCAATGAGATTCAAGTTATTCGTGTAACACCTAGTTCAGCATTATGTGACAACAATTCTAATCATCAGTACATTGCCAAGGAGTCATCAATTAACACCAGAGAGAATGAAGTCACTGGTTCTTTGGAAAATCCTACTATGACGCGTTCAAGCACCATGTATTCTTCACTCGACCAAGACGCCGTTATGAGTTCAACAGGTAAATAAATATTTTATTATTATCATTATTATTCCATACTTGCATTCCAAATACAGTGTAGGCCTTCAACGGCACATTTCCCTTCCACTCAATTCCCCACCTTCACTTTCAACTAGCTATACGGTCGCCGACTGACTTTCATTTCCCCTTCACATGATCTTCTTCATGTCACCCTCGGATGCCCTATTCATCACTTCCTATTTAGATCCCTATTCCACATCTGGCATGTGATGTCACTTGAGAGTCTCTTCAGAGTATACTCAATCTATATCCCTTTGTTCGGAAGTAGGTTGTTGGCTGTTTTCCTGCCCTCTGGCTTCCCTATCTTTACAGGTGACTCATCTGATATTCAATATGACACAAAAGCGACTATTGATAAAAGTTTGCTTGTTGAAATTGCTTTGCTTGACGTGCACGCCATGTATCTGATCCATATGGAAGCCACTGATTGACTTGATATGAGCGTTGAAAATTCGAATCTCGTTTCTTATGTTGAGTGCTGAGAATACCCACACTGATTTTAGAGTAATGAACGCATGTCTTGCCTTCACAATTTCATCCTGACTAGCTTTGATACCGTCATATGTGCCACCTGTTGAAAGGATGTTTCTCAGATAAGGGAAAGAGATGATGATGCTAGTCGGCGTTGGTGGGTCGGGAATCTTTATGCATCCTCTCTATATTCGTTTGAAGTCCTGTTCTCATTAGCTTTTCTATCAACTTGGTGGTTTTCGCTTGTAAATCTTTGAGTTTATGCAAAGTGAAACGTGAATCGTTTTTGAAGACTTTTTGTATGGTTTCTTTTTCGGTCAAACGTATGTCCGTCTTCTCACTCCCCACTGTCTACCACCGTATCTAGTCCACTGCAATCAGGAAGATAGTCGGTGATAGTAGGTAGCTTGTCTTACTCCTGTCGTCGATTCAAATGCTTAATTGAGCTGCCCGCTGTAAACTACTTGGCATACATCATCACCAGACAGCTGTTTAATGAGATTGATAAATGTTAGACGATGTGTACTGTTGACATGAGGTCTGCGCATAATTTATTTATTTATTTTTGAATCCAGGATTTTCTGAGCGAAGTCTTCTATACAGGATAATACGACATAGTATTTTACTTGGACTAGACTGAAGTGTGGTGCAGCACCATTTATCTCACAGGCTGATGTCAATCCTTTGCTACAGTTTGACTACGAAACTTGGAACTCGGATCACCAAAAACCTTCCCAACAGGCTGCAAACTTTCGCCAATGGCCGCCTCATCGCAGGGGAGTACACATCAAAGGAGTTGGTAGTGCAGCGAACCAGCTAATAAGTGGATTCCTGGGATGTACAAAGAAGAGACCTTCAGTGGACATTGAACAGCATGCCGCGTTGTCTGAATAGGAAGTGACGCCTTGAACATCTTAAGGTGACACGCAGATTATGTGAAGGGGAAACCTAAGCCTGTGGGTAGTTTTCGAGTTAGTTGAAAATGGTGGAATAGGACTGAATGGAATGGAGATGTACCACTTAAAATTTATCTCCTGATCGGAATGCAATTACTGAATAAAAATTTCTTGTTCCTGTATTCTAATTCGAAGTGTTGTAATGAATAGTAAGTGCAACGACGAGGCTATTCGGTATACGGTGTGGTACGTGGAAGCGAAAAATACCTAGATTCTTATTAAAACTTGACATTTAAAATAATATTTGAACGTACATTTCCAGGCAGCACAATCCGCTGACCAGTTGCATTTGTACGCGGCAAAATAACAGTCATCTTTCTTGGTCCTTTGAAACCTAGCACGTTGGTATCCTGAAAGAAGATGGAACCAATGTAAACAGTCGAATACATAATCAATATCAAGAATCCATATTAAACTCATGTCATAAAGAACAGAAAAATAAAGTGATATTCTGTATGTACAACGAAATAATCTCCCCTAGTTAACTAGGAGTTCCTAAGCCCGGGTAAAGGAGGGTTGGGCGTGGAGCTAGCGACCCCACACCACAAAACCAATCAGACTGCTACAGAAAATTCAACGCACGAGAAATCAATCAAAAATACAAAAAATTTAGAAAAACAAACTTTTCTTCGCTGGAATCAGAGAGGCGACGTGACGTGGGCTAGTGAAAGCCTTCGGGAAGCTAGTCAGCCGATGTGTCTTCTGTCGACGAAAGCCAAAATAAGAATAGGGACGTGGGAATGTTACTGCAGTGTACGAGACTGGGAAGGCTACCCAGGTAGCCAAAGAAATCCGAAGATGTGACATAGAAGTGATGGGTATCTGCGAGAGCAGATGGAATGGATGTGGATTATGAAAATTATCAACTGGTAAGTCAGTAATCTACTCTAGTCACCCAGACGACAACCACTAGCACACTGAGGCAGTGGCTATCACAATGTCACCAGTGGCAGCCAAAGCCCTGATACAGTGGGAACCAATTTCATCCAAGAATTATGACATCAAGATTCAACTCAAAAGGAGGAAGGGAAGGTAACAATTATCCGATTCCACCCACATTGCTACAAACAACGCGAAACAAGAGAAGAAAGAAAAGTTCTATAGACAACTGCGAACAGTAATGGACGACATCCTGAGTGGTGACATCAAAATCCTTATGTGCGATAGGAATGCAAGACAAACTGGGAGTAGATAATACAGGAAGAGAACTCATCATTGGTCGAGAGGCTCTCGGAGAAATGAATGAGAACGGAGAATTATTCGCAGACTTCTGCTCGTTCAACGAGCTGGTGATCGGAGAGCGTGTGCAAACACAAGGATATAACCCAAGGTACCATGGATTTTGTCTGACGGACACAGCGAAAACCAGATAGACTTCATATCAATGCTCCCTAAAGAAGTGGAGACAGCCAGTCGGTTGTACACGAAGTCGAGAGGGGGAGCAGACTGACTCGTTCCAACATAGAACTTTGCACTGATGTGCAGCAGTCCGAGTCGTCACACTCCATGTAGCACACAAAGCAAGAGAAGAAAGTGAAAAAAAATGCAAAATAGAAACAGCAAATAAAGATATGAGGCAAAAAGAATAGTAATATCGAAGAACAATGCAGTTTTTTGGATATAATAATAATGATTTACTTTATTCCAAGAACAGTACTTGTGATACAGAATGGAATTTTCAGCATTAATCACAATATTGCTTCTAATCTCCTCAAATTATAAATAAAATTAATCAAACAGAAAATTTTGCACACCCACAATAGAGGTAATGTCGAAAACATGCAGGGCATAAGATGGAAATAATAATAATGATAATAGCTAGGGTAATAATAATAACACAAGTGAAAATTGCCGGGGGCTTGTTTCCCACAGTATTGTCGATGCGGTATAGAAATCCTAGCATATTTAAAAATAATAAATATAATGTTCTTTTTCATAATATGGTGAAGGGATTAACGAAGATTACAGCAGTCATGGGGATAAGTTGGTGTTTGCAATTATGAGAGTAAAACAAAGAAACAACAAGACTATAAATATAATAGAAATAATAAAAGTAAAACTTGAAGGTATATAAAGATGGATGGAGGAAATTGTTTATTTACTAGATGAAAAAGGGCTAGTTAATTCTTGCCTGACACTATTTTCATCATATATTATAAGTCACAAGGAGTGGATACATCTGCGTCACTGAGAACGATTTTGAGCCATATCACCGATTGACTCCAGCCATTGGATTTTACCGTCCCGAGGACCCCAACCACGAAGTCTACACCTTCCTACGTGACTCCAACTAACTGTTGTGGATTTCATTGACTGATGAAGCCATGTTTTCTTTTGACCACCACCGGCTCTTTTCCAATCTGACCCTGTGTCAGCCAACATTGCCCGTCGAGGAAGTCGATGGCTAGACATACGTAACACATATCCTAACCATCTCAGCCGATGAAACTTCACAGCCTCGTCGATTGATTTCCCCTCCCTACCTAGAACTCGACGCCTAACCTCAATATTGCTCACCTTGTTATACCACTTCACACGGGAGGTAGAACGCAGGCACCTATGATCAAAGATAGCTAGCCTTTTCATGTCTTCCACTTTCAATGGTTAGGTCTCACAGCCATAAACGAGGACGGAGCACAATGTTGAGCAGTACACATGCCCTTTGGTCGATAGCCGGATATCACGTCTTGTACTTTCTTCTCTTGCTTCGCGTGCTACACGGAATGTGGCGACTTGAACTTCCGCACATTTGTGCAAAGTTCTATGTCGAAAACAGACAGACAGACAGACGTCTACACCAGAGACGGTGTAAACTGGCATATGCTAGACGAGCCTTCTATATCCGTGGTGAGATTTCGTCAGCGATCAACCCTCTGGCACTAACTCATGCAACTTCCCAAATAAGTGAGGTGCTCAACGCGCTCTACCATTTCACTTCGTATTTTTAAGCTAGGAGTCAACGTCGTCTAGTCCTGTAGCATCAATTAACATTTGGCGGGAGTGAATCGCATTCCAAACATTCGCAGATTGTAGCTCTAGGTGTCCAGAACTCTCTCCATTTTGTCAGCGTCTACACCTGCATATTCTAAGTCAACGAGAGATGATCAGCTTTAAAATTCTCCTGTTGCTGCTAGTCGTTTCAAACTAGTGACAGCTTTAGTAACCTCACTTAGGGACCGAGGACCTGTATCTCCATCCCATTCAGGGAAGTGTTGTATGTTCGGCAGGTCAAGTAGGTACGTAGGCCAGTTGAATCGATCCTCAAAGTGTTCTTTTCAGCGTTCGTATATCCTGGGAGCTAATTATGGTGTAGGGATCAATTATTCCCCAAAATTATAGGCCACACTACTCATCACTGAACATTTGATGCTGACCCCGACGTTTTAACTTGTTTAGCTGAAGGCTTCCGGTCAAGTATCCACACCATTAGGTACTCCGTCATGTCACGTTCGTTCGTTCGTGCACGATCCCTGGCTAGCTAAGCAATCATCTCGCACTCCGCTTCGGTCACGAAATATGTCTCGTAATTTGGACGATCAATTATTGTTTTTCTTTGCCCTTGGTCTACGTGGAACGAATACCATAGAAGTTGTGGGTATTAGATCTTGGGTTAGTATACTTCGTACAATCCGTGGACGTCATTACCTTCAGCTTCTAAACTGGTGAGCCCTTCCGCGAACTTCATCTTCGGTAAATACAGAGACAAATCTAGTGATTTTGTTCCATTTAGTATTTCTCCTCGTACTGCTTTTAAACCGCCATGAGTGATCATACTCTTAAGGTCACCCGCATTCGATCAACTACCGAAACCACTCAACTCGTGGCACTTTGGCCAGATAATGCAGAATCATGGTTTCGGATAGCTGATTTTGGTTTCAGTGAACATGGGATCACCAACCAACGTTCATAGTTGGTTGTAGTTGTCGACGCTCAACCTCAGGAATTCAGCATATGAGTAATTGTGCTTATGTCAAACCCAGAGGTAAGTAACTCGTATGAGTTGCTCTAAAGGAAAAACGTTCTCACGGATCGACAGCGTCTAGACAAATTTTTTTGCAACATCGACTTAGGTTATCAGTCAGCCATGAGCATGCTAACAAGAATGAGGGAAGTTACTGGCCAACGTCAGATTGATGAAGTACTTTTCACAGAACTTTTCTTATCCTAACTGCCACAGTCAGTGCTGGTGACACTTCAGGGTGTTATTATAGATGACTTAGCTTTTTATGCAGATGAAATTCTAGAAATAACTAGACGGATAGTTACTGAGATATGCTGAGTTGCCAAACAGACTTTGAGTAAGAACACTGCAGTGATAGAGTTATGCAACTCTATCCAGCAGCTACTTAGGTCGAACATACCCTGTAATTCCTCCTATCGACGTCCGAACTCCCCTCAACGGCGAAACTCACGTGGTCGGTATAAATCCAAGCCATGTTCACTAAAATACCCCGACTGGTGTTGATATCCCGACCGAAAGCTGCTACCTTGACGTGGTGGTCGGGCTTGAACACCGCAATGACCTAATCAAGCTATACTGGCTGAGACTTATGTCTCTTGAGGTTCTACCATGCCAGGCAGGTTGTTTGGATAGCGGTTAAACAAAAAGCAGCTACCCAATCCAACATCATGTCCAATACAAAATTACAAAATTTCATGCCGGATCGGCCGTGGCCCGGATTAACAACGACCGCGCTTCCTGCTGCCGTGTCACAGGGCGGGAGTGATAAATCTGCTACTGAGACACACCAAACAAAAAGAACAAACAAAAACAGGCCGCGTGTGACCGGCCTCAAGCAGTTGTCCCCTGGGCTCTGCGGTCACGCAACCAACTTCCACGGTGTGGGCAGCCGGGAAGTAACAATCGCCCTCACAATCCGAAATGCACACGAAACCTCTCTATTACTCACTCATCTTTGTCTTCATCTTCATCTCTATCATCTTGCCTTCCTTCCACTGATGCAACTCCTCGACTTGATAGCTCTCCACTTCCTCTCCACTCTGCGTCCACTAAAAACGATGGAAGCCAAAAAACCACCACCGACAGCCTCTTAAAGCCGCGCCACCAATTTCATATAGGAGCTCTTAATGTTAGGACACTTTGCCAAATAGGACAACAAGCATCACTAGCCAAGACCCTGGCATCACGAGCCATTGATGTATGCTGTGTTTCAGAAACACGCATACAAGACCCAAGTGTGGTTATTCACCTAACCCCACCTGGCCAACAGGTTGAATCTGCAAAATTCACCTTGAGGGTGTCAGGAGATGCCACAGCTAGTTCACGAGGATTAGCTGGCGTAGGGATAGCTTTGAGTACTAGGGCAGAAAAGACATTGCTTGACTGGAT